AAAACTTAGTGCTGTTTTTCTTCGGCAGCCGATGACTTGGACAAACTGCTAGCAAGCAAGCGGTTTGTTTTCCTCCTGCTGGTTTGGGGAGTTTCCTGGATCAAACGAAGACAATTGCCATTATCTTCGTGATCTACAGGTATCTCCCCCTCGCTCGTCACCTCTCCGGGGTGACTTAAGCCCCTTGGGGCTCCCTAGCAGGCTGAAAAGCAGTCTCAGGGAGCAGAGCTCTGTCTCCCTGGACTGTATCGTCACGACATCAAGCCGGAAGTCCTTTGCTGCCCCCTTTTCCTCCAAAAGGTGCTTGTATTGGCTTGTCTTGGCTGAAAATGTGCTTTTCAAGGTGTTCTGTTGAAAAGGTGTCTGTTCCCTCCTTCCCTCCCTCTTTTCTTTCCTTTTTTTTTAAACTTGTCATCTTAGGTTAAAAGGAAAAAAAATTCTGCCCCTAGTGGTTGGAACTGATTAACCGGCTTTGCATTAGTTCCTATGGGAACTAATGATTCGAGTTACAAACCGCCCCTCGACCTAAGAACCAAAAACAGCTGGAGTGGATTAATTGGTTTTCAATGCATTCCTATGGGAAATGCTGATTCGACTTATGAACTTTTCGACTTACAAACTTCCTTCCGGAACGGATTAAGTTTGTAAGTCAAGGGTTGACTGTATTTTATTTTATTATATCTATAAGAAAGGTGCAAAAAAGCCAGCATGGCTGCCAATATCATTGTAGCTGTTCCCCTTTTCAGTAAATTACTTCACTGTGTAGACATCGGACTGCTTAAAGTTCTCCACTGACAACCGAGGAAGCTTTCTTGAAAGTGTGAGCAAGAAAGACTTTGGAGGGGTGGGATAGATAGATGGGAAGGCCATGTGGACTGGACATTTCTTCACTGTAATTAATTATATTTCCAGACTGGTTTCCGAAGTTTGAGCAATGTAAGATATGTTGAGGATTGTTTATAGGCTGTTGGGTTGTCATTCTGTATATTTTTGCCATTGTAAACAGGCATCCACTGATGTTGGCAAAGTGAAAGACCATGTGATAAAACATACTTTACCTCTTGTCGGCCATCGCAAGACTTCCAATGATGCTAAGAGATATATTAAGAAACCTTTGGTGGTAGTTTACTATACAGTAGACTTCACTTTCGATTATCGTGGTAGTAAGTATATTAAAATTATTGTTACCTTCAGAACAATGGTAGAAAACAAGCCAAAACATTCTTATTTCATTCTATGTTTTGTGTTTTCAGCGACTCAGTATTGGCGAAACAAAGTGTTAGAAGTGGCAAAGGACTTCCCAGAATATATTTTTGCAATTGCTGATGAAGAAGACTATTCTTCTGAGATAAAGGACTTGGGATTAATTGATAGCGGAGAGGATGTTAATGTTGCTATCTTTGATGATGATGGCAAGAAATATGCAATGGAACCAGAAGAATTTGATTCTGAAGTGCTGAGGGAATTTATTTTCTCATTCAAAAAAGGTAATTTGTCTTGGATGTGGGCAGTTTTTCTTTCCTTATATTTGAGTGTAGCATGGCTAACGTGTATGATCATTTCATCGGGCTAGTGCTTTTCATGTCAGAAGTTGGAAAAACCTGCTGCAGTACAGTGTCAATAGAACATTTATTCGGAGTCTCCTGATGGATTAGAATGGATTTTATATAAAATCCTTTGGATTCTGCAGTCCTGCCTTTTGGATGAGGGGCATGCTGTGGAACAGTAGAGTAGCAGTTCCCTCAGAACCACCCAAAAATCATAGAATAGTGAGCAAGTTCTTGAGTTTTTTCAGAACTCTTCACCAGGCTGGACATTGAGCAGTGTGTAGGAAGAGATTTTTGGACCAAAATGTCACCTGTATCATGGACCAAGAGACTGTGCATGTCAAATACTATGAAATGTGTTTTTTGCCTGGCAATGTATAAAGTGCTGCTTTCATGGCCTCCAGTGGCAAATAAGAAACCATTCCCTGATTATGAGGAAGGAAAACTTTTGCAGGACTGTATTTTATGTCAGTTTAAGGCCCAGTAAAAAGCTGACATTGGTATATTATTAACACCAGTGGGCTAATTTTGCTTGCATAAATTATATGACATGGTATTTATTTGATGAATTCTTCATGTTTTCTTTTTAGGTAAACTGAAACCTATTGTAAAATCTCAGCCAATACCAAAAAATAACAAGGGCCCAGTGAAAATTGTAGTTGGGAAAACATTTGAGTCCATAGTGATGGATCCAGAAGCTGATGTTCTCATAGAGTTCTATGCTCCCTGGTGTGGACACTGCAAGAAACTTGAGCCCATTTATACTGAGCTGGGGAAAAAATATAGAAACAAAAATAATTTAATAATTGCCAAAATGGATGCTACTGCCAATGATATCACCAATGACAATTACAAAGTAGAAGGATTTCCTACCATCTATTTTGCTCCCAGCAACAAGAAGAATCAACCTATTAAATTTGAAAGTGGGGAAAGAGATTTGGAAAACTTGAAAAAATTTGTAGAAGAACATGCCACTACACTAAGCAGGATAAAAGAAGAACTTTAGGTGTTAATTAAGCTTAACAGAATTATTGAAAGATTGGTTGGGGAGCAATACAGCATTTGGAGCTAAGGTATCTGGAGTAGCAAAACAATGCAGAGTGAGGATTTGTGGGGTTGTTTTTTGGAGGGACATTAATCTGAACAGTGAACTTTTGGATATGAATTGTTTTTTATGAGTTCAACAGCTGACCTGAGAAAAATACATTATTTTTTGTGCCTAGCTTGAGCTTGCATCTTTTCTTCCTAAGGTTTATCAAAAATATCATTGACAAACAAATTTGTTTCTGTTTTTGTTTGATAGAAAAATGGAAGTGTATAGCTTAAGAACACTTCTTGGATCCTTCTATGTCAGGGGTCAGGGAACTTTTTTACCTTTTACCCCCTCAAAAATTTATATGCGCCAACATTACCACCTTGATTTGAAAGGAAGGAAATCATACATTATTTGAATTAAAAATATTATTCAATCTACACAGGCTGTGTACCGAACTAGCAGGATGCACCTAATTTGATAAAGATGTGCACTGTTTTTGCTGGAACACATTGCACTCCAGCCATGGTGTGGTATAGGGAGTAGTAAGGTGTCCAATGTGCCTAGTGAGTTGCATTAAATTTTTGCTAGCTCGCAGAGAATGTAATCATCATCAGTGGCTGCCAGAGTGGTGCTAGCAATGACATGCTTGCTAGAGAGAGCCAACGCAGAATTGGGGTGGGTGGGGCTTTCCCTACCACTTTACTCATTCTATGTGCAGTGTGCAAAAAGGAACAAACCAGGCTAAAGGTCATGTCACCCACCCTGGTGCCACAGCCCAGTATCAAAGGACCAGTGTGCTTTTTTTATCATCATCAATGGAAAACTCAGCAGTGGCCAAAGGATTGGAAAAGATCAGTCTACATCCCAATCCCAAAGAAGGGCAGTGCCAAAGAATGCTCCAACTACAGTACAATTGCACTCATTTCACACGCTAGCAAGGTTATGCTCAAAATCCTACAAGGTAGGCTTCAGCAGTATGTGGACCAAGAACTCCCAGAAGTACAAGCTAAATTTTGAAGGGGCAGAAGAAGTAGAGACCAAATTGCTAACATGCGCTGGATTCTGGAGAAAGACTGAGAGTTCCAGAAAAACATCTACTTCTGCTTCATGGACTATGCAAATCATGGCAGAAAGTGAGGAGGACTTAAAGAACCTCTTAATGAGGGTGGAAGAGGAGAGTGCAAAAAATGGTCTGAAGCTCAACATCAAAACAACTAAGATCATGGCCACTGGTCCCATCACCTCCTGGCAAATAGAAGGGGAAGATATGGAGGCAGTGACAGATTTTTACTTTCTTGTGCTCCATGATCACTGCTAAGGGTGACAGCAGCCACAAAATTCAAAGATGCCTGCTGCTTGGAAGGAAAGCAATGATAAGCCTAGACAGCACCTTAAAAAGCCACCCTTCCCCCCTGCCTTAATTCAAGCTTTCTGTTTTGCTTGCCTATTCTTTTTCATAGTTTTGAGTCGGTCTCATTCACTCTCTCTCACACACACATACACATCCATCCATCCGCCCTCCCTCCCTTTTCTATATACATTTTCTACATTTAAAAAAGGTTGATAAAACCCTCAGTCTCTCACACCTTCCTTCCCTCGTTAACTTGATCCTTTCCCTCCTCTTGCTTGCTTGCAGTCATTTCCAGAGGAAGCAGTCATTCAGAAGCCCCAGATTGATTGATTGCCCAGGGCTAATCCACAGCTGTAACCAATCAAACAGGCTTATCTCTAATCTCTAAAAGAACAGAGGATTTACAAGCGCCCTGCTGCAACTAAGGAAGTAACAGGGAGAGGTGGCTTACGATTTGAGGTTTGGCTGCAGAGGGTGCGGGTGGGTGGGAGGCAGGGGGGTAGCACTCTGCTCATTACCCCCAGGATTTTCACTTTTACCCAATTTGGGGTAATTAATCCCTGTTCCCGGACCACTGTTCTATGTGGATCCATAGAATACAGTATGTTATATACTATGTGGTAATATAAATGTGATATACTATTTGGCAGTATATCAACATGTTTTAAAGAAATAATCCCAAATGAAAGTGATGTCTCTGCTTTCACTAATAGATGTCCCAGACACCCTCAGTTATAATTCATGTGAGATTTATTTTCTGTGTGCATATCATTATTTAACTGGCCAGGAACAGCACAGAATGTTTATGTAAAAGTTTGATTGCAAAGTAAAATGACCTGCCCACATACTTACTACTTTACCCCACTGAGCATTTAGTATCTTTGTTTTTATTCATTCTTCTGAAGTATTTGTCCTCTAGTTCAGGTAATATAAAAAGTGGAAGAATGCAAACTTAAGGCAATGCTTTACCATAAGGACTTTGACCTTTAATGAATATTAACCCAACCTCTAAGCAAAGAGCCACATTGGAAGTACAAGGTGGAACTCCCAAGGATGGCTCTCACAAATTTGGTCTGAACAATCTCCAGAGGCCATAAGTTAGCATAGGCAAACAGTTGAGAGCCATAAAGCATTTGTGAAATAATCCTGGCCTTAAAAACTTGTGTGGCCGATGGAATACAGTGGTGCCTCGCATAGTGATGTTAATTGGTTCCAAAAAAAACATCGCTATGTGAAACCATCGCTATGCGAAACACCATTTCCCATAGGAATGCATTGGAAACCGGTTAATCCGGTTTGGAACGGATTGCCGTTGTTAAGCGAAAAAACCCATAGGAAACATTGCTAAGCGAAACAATGTTTCCTTCATTGGAATGTATTGAAGCTGACTCAATACATTTCAATGGCTTTGCGAAGTCAATTTTTGCAAAATTAAGTGTGTCATAAAAGGGTCAAAAATGGTTCTAAATGCTTGGATTCGTTAGAGGACCCCTTAAGTCATGTGCAAACCTGATTTGGCTTTGATCTGACTTTTCGTTAATTTTTTCTGAATTTTTCC